CCCCCCCCCCGGCAATGGTTCTCTAGACCAAGGGACATACCGGTGGTGACTCTTCTTCCAGGTGACTATATGAAACACAGTGGACACTATAAAAAGAGCACACAGGCCCATGCCATAAATACAGGCTGTTATCTTTTCCCATCGGTCGTCTGACATACGATGTAGAAGAGCACTTCCAATTATAGAAGGGACAATGAGGAACTAAAAAAAAATAAATAGAAAATATATGCATGTTTACTTACAGCTTGCATCAAACATTTTAAAGATTTCCCATCATTGGTAAGCTTTTTACAAAAAATTAATTCCAAAAACGTCAGTCCGTTTAAGCCTGGACCACTGAAATACAAATACACTTACTGTTTTATCTGCCAAAAGATTTGTAATTTCAGCTAGTCTTGTGATCCAAATTCACCAGCTAGACAGATCCAGGACTTTGCTGCTCACCCCTCAGGCTGTGATTGGACAGGAAGTCATCTCTTTGCTCTCCCCTACTATAAGCGTAACCCCGGTGTCACAAATCTGTGCTAATCACGAGGCACCAGCACTGTCATATGAGGGAAGGAGTTAGTCACATGCTCACCCATACCCCAAAGTGCCAAGTGGAGTGGAGCAGGATCAATGTAAAAAGGGGAGAACTAACAAGAGGTTTTGGCTCTAGAGACACTTTAAGTCGATGTAAAATTTGTAAAAGACTTCTATGTTGCCATTTACAAAGGAAAGTAGAAATAGTTGTATAACTCATATGATAATACCTGAATTGGGCAGTACTTTGGCCAGGTTTGCACCCAAGGCAAAATTAGTAAAGGGCCCTGAGGTAAGCATGCAGGAAAGCTAGCTGTGATGAGCACTGGCAAGCCAAGGGGTGTTGGGGGAGTCAAAGGGGTGTGATACTTGTTAGGATGCAAAATCCTAACAATTAATTTCTTTTATTTGCTCCCTTTTGATCTATTAAATACATAATTGAAAGCATTTTGTTATATCAGCTCAATTAGATTGTAGGCCCTCCTTACCACCTTGTCTTGAATTGTATTGTAATTGTCATGTCTTCCTTATATTGTAAAGCAATGCACAAACTGCTGGCGCTATATAAATCCTGTATAATAATAATACGTGCAAAACAATTTCTGTTAACACTGCTAGAAATCAAGTGAGCTCATATGTTCCTGTGATCTCTGCAGTTTTATCTGAAATGATAACAGATCTCTTGGTGATCTACAATATACCCCCTTGTTATGGATGTAAGGAGAGGGAGAGATGATCTGTAGACCCAACACACTTCCTATCCTAGGGTGACAATGTTGCTCCTCCATAGATGGAGTACAGCATGTGAGCACTGTCACCCATAGACAGGACTTTTTCTATTCCTTCGAAAAAAGTACTTCACCTGAAAAAAGCCATAACAATTAGGAATCTATAGGCTGCAATATATTACATTTTTGTTATTGGGTTCAGATATACTTTAAAGGAGAACTATGAGGTGAGTGATTTTCACTGAGCCTCATAGTTTGAGCCGACTTGTGACAATGAGACTGTCACAGGTCGGCTCAATAGATCAGGAAGTGAGCAAACACATACCGTTGCTCGCTCACTTCTCGATCATGTCCCTGCAGAGAGTTGTGACTGTCACTCACGGCTCCCTGCAGGGATTCACCCCCTCCCATGTCCGATCCTCCAGCGCTGACTGGCGGAACGGACGGGGGAGGGGGCGGGTACAGCTGGCTCTGCCTCTAGATAGGCAGAGCCAGCTGTCAATCACACAGCTGGGTGGATCTCGACAGTAATATCGGGATCCATCCTGGCTGCGGCGTCTCAGTATACCGCGAGCTGTAGCTCGCGGTATACTGAGCTTTGGGTGACGGGAGGACGTTAGTTTGTGTCCACCCGTTACCCTTAGGAGAACTATGGGGAAAAGCCCTGACCCCATAGTTCTCCTTTAACTATTGTTAACTGCCATTCCACCCACTGGCCTCTTCTTCACTAGAGGGCACAGCAATGGCGTAGGGGGTCAATGGATGGAGCCTTAGCATGTGATGGGGAAAACAGACATTCAAAGTTCCTGGAAGCGACAGTAAAGCTGCCCACACATTGTAATGTTTTTTTTCTTCAACCGGTGGGCTGAATGAAGAAAATATAACAGATTCCTCCATCAATGCTTTCGAGCATTGATTGAGAATTCTTCTAATGTCTTCATAGTACTCTGACGATGGCCGCTGTCAGTGAACCTGAATAGAGCCGGCAGCTCATTGGCTGCCGCCTCTGTTCGAAGATTTTTCCAACCGCCTCCTTCGATTAGCTGATCGAGGGATGCCGGATGAAAGGGTGTGAATTTAGTCCGGTTCATTAGAAACCAGCCGAAATTCGCATAGTGTATGGCCAGCTTTAGTGTGTTACTGGCAGGAAAATAAACGAAGAAGAAATCTGCAAAATAAAACTAATGCAACCACAAGATCTAAGGCCAGGTAACCTGCAATATACTATGTTTTTGGTTTTAGTGTTTCGATATGTTACTCTTGACATTTAGATATGCAAGCAGTAACAAACGCCCTCCCACCGACCTATTGCAAGTGAGAAAATTAAATGGAGAATTTGATTGAGTGCCATGTGTAACACAATTAGCTCTCCTTTTGCATATACACTGCCTGGCCAAAAACAAAGCCAGACACTCTCATATTTCGCCGGACCGCCTTCCGCTTTGGATTACGGCACACCATCAACGTGGCATTGTCTCGATAAGCTTATGCAATGTCACAACATTAACTTTTCACCAAGATCTGACTATCCCATCATAGTGATGATGGGATAGTCAGAGCACTGCGTAAAGTTTTCTGCAGCACATCCCAAAGATTCTCAATGGGGACTCTGGTGGCCAATCCATGAGTTAAAATGATGTCTCATGCTCCCTGAACTATTCTTTCACAATCTGAGCACGATGAATCCAGATTGCCATCTTGGAATATGCCCAATGTGCCATCAGGAAAGAAACAGATCATTGATGGAAAAACCTGATCATTCAGTATATTCAGGGAGGCAGCTTACCTCATTTTCTGGGGAACATAACATTGCTGAACCTAGACCTGACCAACTGAAGCAACCCCAGATCATAACACTTATCCAATGGAAGGCTCTGACCAATTTCTTTTAGCTAAATCCAGGTGTGAATCTTTTTTTTTTTTTGACCAGGCAGTGTAATAACATATCCCGGAGCTCTCCTTTTTCACATATAACCTATCCAGGAACTGCCTGTCCTCATTAAATAATCTATGCATGTTTTACAGCACCTTTATCAACTATTCTAAGAATTTTATGATTTGAAAAGTTTATCTGGCCGGCTGATTGAGTTCGAGGAAATGGTGGAGAAATTCTGACCTACATAGTTGCATAGATACATAGTTAGTCAGGTTGCAAAAAGACACAAGTCCATCGAGTCCAACCTATAGACCTTAGCGATTAGCTAACCTGCTTCTTAGCATTATGGTAATTATACTCCGCTAAGCAACCAAAGGTTTTTTTTTAATTTTTATTCTGGATGGCTAAGGGTTAAGCCCTCTGTTCTCTTTTGCTATCTGTGCCCCATTGGTCCTTTTGACCTGGTGACCACTGACATTTAACGAGGGTTCCTGCTACTTAGTGATGTGTAAACTTTGCTCCTTATTACCAGCGGAAAGGACGGCAATAACTTCAAGCTACTGTGTATATACAATGGAGATTTCCGTGAGAGGATCCAAACCAAACATGAGGTTTTCCATCACGGCAGCAAAATCCTAATATTTATGTACAAGCTTTCCCCCAGCAGAAACAACGCCATGCCACGTGTTGGCTAACCTGGATTCTTGGAACATCTGGAACAAAACATTTGCTCAGAGGCGGCACAGGATACACTGCAGTGGACTCTGAACCATCAGGAGATAGTCAAAGTGAAAGAGATAAAAGTGCAATGATTGCCAATAATGTCAAAGGCCTCAAGGGTCATGTTAGGAGAACATCAATGTGGGTGCTGAATGAAACCTGCGCTTAGAGAAGTACAGAGTCTGCCAATGCTGACCTCACACTTAACAAAATTTACCTGGCCATCATGCTGTTCAACTGCCTTCAATACTTTGAGTCATGGCTGTTAATCCACGTTGATAAGATTACTAAAGCTGAACTCCACCGCTAAATAAATTACTGATATGCTATACATACATGGGAGTTATTTTACATGCCCAAGGACTTGTATCTCTGTCCACCCTGTCCTGAGATGTACACAGCTCTGCCAGAATGTATAGCAAGGCTATTGACCTGATTTTTCTCTGCTGCAAATTAACCGTAAAGCTAGGTCACCTCCCCAGCATGGAAATACACAGTGAAGAAGCAGAAGCTAGCAGTCAGTGGCTTTCTCACATTTATTGTTTAATGACAGATCAGCGTCCCCAGGTCATTCGGGGACGCTGATCTGTCATTACAAATGGGCGGAGCCAGCCCTGAGGTCACGGCTGGCCCGCGCCCAGCTGTCATCTGCATAGAGATAGGTCGGCTTCGCCTGTCATTTCGGCTTCGGCTCGACTGAGCTGCTTGGCTGCCTTCGGCTGCTTTGCCGAAGGCAAAGCCCTTCGGTTCAACTGAACCCGAGGGGCAGAGGCGGCCGAAGATAGCCAAAGGATCAGCCGAAGCTACGGCTGGTTCCTTCGGCTCCAACGTGAATAACCTCCATGGATTCTCTTCTGCAATAAAAGCCTTCTTGCTAGCATTTTTTACACTAAAGCAGGGGTGGACAAATCAATACGGAATTCAGGAGCCAGTAGGGTTTTTTTTTAGAAGCCAGCTCCATTGACAATTAGCGAGAACCTCAAGAGTTAGACGTCATTGAATTTTAAGAAGCATCAACTACCTGGCTCCTCGGATTTGTCCATCCCTGCACAGAAGTTCCACTTTAAATCACCTTTGTATGAGGTCATTGGCATTTTTTACCCTATAGACTGGCTCATTAAAGTAAACCCATTACTGTGCTCTGCAAAAGCAAAACAAAAGGACTATGGAGAGAACACGTTTGTGCTTACAGCACCACATTATTAAATAAGTCAGACTGTATTAATCTCCATTTGGTAGACTGTCTCTGTCTGTGCCACATGCCCCCTATATGAACCTCTGACTGTCAAATTGCCAGCTGATCTTTCATCTGCTGGCAATAGGATGAGGAGGGATTTGGAGCATTTTCAACATCA